TGTTTTGAAAATTTTTTTTCACTCCCGGGAAAAATGATAACGCGAGACACGTGGTGGGAGGTGCGGGGAGATGACATACGTGTAAAATCATGAGTGTGTCATGGACCATTAAAGCAATTAACGAACCGACAGACATCTGAGGCGGTGAGAGGCTCTTCATAATGATGCCGTAGTGACGAAGATTGATAAGAATGTGGTAGTGATTTTCGGTGGTGAATAAACACTCGTGTTTACACTCAACGCTCGTCTCTTTGACGGCAGTCCCTCAATTTGTTAGGATTTATTATTAATCATATCGATTTTTTGAGGATTCATTGAATGTTCGTTTTGATTCAAAATTTTCAAAAAAGTATCAGAGGAGCATGAAAATCGAGCAGGTATTCACTGAAAATTGAAAATTCGAAATTTTTGGAAAAGTATCAGGAGAGCATGACAATTGAGGAGGTATTCACTGAAATAGAAAAATTCGAAATTTTTGAAAAAGTATCAGGGGAGCATGAAAATCGAGGAGGTATTCACTGAAATTGAAAAATTCGAAATTTTTGAACAAGTATCAGGGGAGCATGAAAGTCGAGAAGGTATTCACTGAAATTGAAAGATTCGAAATTTTCAAAAAAGTATCAGGAGAGCATGAGAACCGAGGAGGTGTTGACGGAAATTTGAAAATTCAAAATTTTTGAAAAAGTATCGGGGGAGCATGAAAATCGAGAAGGTATTCACTGAATGGACCGAATGTCATCTTTTATTTAAATTTTATCTTTTTAGCGTAAAATACATTAAAATTTGAGATCAAATTTGTGTTTCGGGAACTACTCTAATGATTATAAAAAAAAATTTTAAAAAAAGTAAAAATTATTGAAGGGCGCTAAAGAGCGATATTGTTGAGCGATATGGTAAAAGGGATCTACCATGTTAACAAAAAAATGATAAAAAAATACGCAACTGTATTTTTGGTTAAAAAGCTAAAATTTAAACAAAAGTCGCCGTTCGATAAATAGTCCACCCGGGCTTTAATTCAATTTTTGTGATTCGAAAATTGGATGAAAGTCATTGATGTTCACCTGATGTCGTCTGGAGTCATATTGAAATTTATTCTTTTCACACCTGAAGAACTCAATGCTTTGTCCGTGAATCCTTTGAAGGAAGTCTCCTAAAAAATCATAACATTGTGTTACAATAACAATGACTGCCTCACGCAGTCGCGTGATTCCTCGGCAATTGACTGAAACACTCGGACAATGCCAGATTGCAAAAAGGCATCGCCACATAATGCAATATTATGTCTCGGAGGCTTTCTGCGAAACAAAATTGCCGATATTTGCCAGTTCTTTTGGCTCTATCCTCCGAATTATCCCCGAAAACGCAACTTCTTCCCCGAGAGAATGGCGCAGGTGTCAGGAGACACTCAATCCTCAAACATATATATTTATTTTCGCGGAAAAATGGGAAACAACAAGTGATTTCACAGAAATAAATATTTCGAATCCCTCGGGGTGTTATTAATGTTCCAATAATTTCGAATTTTCAATTTTCAGTGAATATCTGCTCGATTTTCATGCTCTCCTGATACTTGTCCAAAAATTTCGAATTTTCAATTTTCAGTGAAAACGCAACTTCCTCCCCGAGAGAATGGCGCAAGTGTCAGGAGACACTCAATCCTCAAACATATATATTTATTTTCGCGGAAAAATGGGAAACAACAAGTGATTTCACAGAAATAAATATTTCGAATCCCTCGGGGTGTTATTAATGTTCCAATAATTACGGATCACATTCGGGATCTTTAATTAGTTGACGCCCATTTTAATCCCACACATCCCAGTGTACGTCGATCAATGAAAATCATTTCAACCGGAAAATTCGGGTAGACCGTGGAGGGATCCTCAAAGGGGCCGACGGGAATGGGAAAATTCACGGCGATTCTCCAGCAAAATCCTCCCAGAAAATACGAGGCAGTGGCTCCATCGAAATTTATCACCATTTCCTCTTTTTCGTTGTCTCTCGAGAAATTGAATTACACTGTGACTTGCATTTTTCTGTTATGCCCGATGAGATTTCCATTTTTTTTCAACGCCTACGGTTTTCCATCTCATTAACTTGACAAATAAAAAATAATTGAAATGTTTTTTCTCTTCAAAGCGATAGAAGTTTAATTTTTTTATTTAACTTTCTCAATCGAAACTAATTTGTTCGGTACCTCAAAAACTACTCACCCAATTCCACTTTCTCAACTCCAATTCGAGTTGATAATGAAAAATATCGATCGAGATTATTATTATTATTATTATTATTATTATTATTATTATTATTATTATTATTATTGTTATTATTATTTGTTCAATTTTTCCGTGAAGTTAACGAATTATTTATGAGACAGGAAGACGCTGTGATGCCATCCGAAATGATACATCAGTCGTTTGATGATCTTTCTCCAGAGATTGTCGAAAAGATCGACACGATCCAGTGAGATCTTGCTGATAGGCTCGAGTTTTTAGCTAGAATTCCAAATTTTATTCTCCTACGTGGCATATACCCCACAACAACAACTCTCAACTAAGAGATTTATCTCTCAGAGGAGAGAACGAGAGAATTTCCTGGCATGCGAAGAGCAGAGGGCCACCAGAGACCGGGATCTTCAAGTATAGGCTTCATCTTTTTTTCTTATATTCTCTCCTCTTTTATTTGTGAAACCTCTCCCTCGTCTCTTCGGGGTCCCTTATACCTGCAACCTGGCCCACAATCTAAACTACAAGGCTCGAGGTATAAAAGCCCACTGATCGTGAATTGGCGCATTGTGGGTATTGGGGGCCTTTCTAATAGATTTAACAGTTTCCTTTGGCATATGTCAGGCCACGGATCGATGGTTATGGATAATGTGGAAACGAGTTGAATTGAAAATATTTTTTAGGATCAACTACGCGGAAAAAATGGATAACCAAATAACAATGCGCGTTTAGAGAGAATTCTTCACAATCTCCGAATCAAAAATTTTTTTTTATTTATTTATTTTCACTGTTGAAGAATGACCGATACAATAAAAAAATCGTAAAAATGAATTGAAAATTCAAGCAGCTGTTGAGTTCCAAGAAAAAAATCACCAGTCGAGTTAATTCACAAGAAAAATACATTCAAAAGGCCAGCATGTCGCATGATAACACCTCAAAATAATCATCACACTTCTACAACTTATCTCCCAACAAGCGACAATGATTCATTATCCCGAAACGTATGATTTAAATCACCCAGCGACACCATTTTACTCATCCGAGAGAAAAAAAAAGGATTACTTTGAGACCAAGAGAGAAGGCATTATTATTATTATTATTATCTGAATAATTCAACACCGAGAGATCGGTTACTGCAGCCAAATGGCAACAGCCTCGATTCATCATCAACCGACCGATGATCCCAGTTTTTTAAAACAATTCTTTGTAATTCCAAGAAAAATGGAAAATCATTCTCAATATTTTTTATAATCAATTTCATATGGATTGAAAATATAATTACAGTACAACGAACTCCAAAAAATAAGTGTACACCATCGGCACGCGGAATATCAATACCGTAACGAGAAAAACTGGCAATAAACAGTAGCTGGGAAGCCGAAAGGCTGTTCAGTCAAAAAATCAACACAAGAACCTAAACCTTCCTTTGGTATCCCCCCTCAATCCACACGGGGCCTATATTCTCCCTTTTGAAAAGCCCCCAATTCCGTTTCAGTGGGATCAATGAATCATTGGGCACAGATGCCGACGTCGCCATCCAAACTTGCTCCCGAATGGTATAAAATATAAACGCCAATGAGAGGAACAAATACTATACGTCTACCCGTTTTATATCCCCCAGAGGATTCACCTACGAAGGTTTATACTACTCCCACCACTTCCACCACTTCCATCACTTCCACCACTTCCACCACTTCCACCACTGCCCTCGGGGCAGTCATCTCATCGAAATAAAAATTTATCTCAACTGAATATAACACCCGCCAACATTTATGCATTATAATTATAATGATAATTATAATTACAATTATCATAATCATAGGAGAATTGAGCCCGATGGTATCACGAATTATCCGGTATTTTAAAATAATAATCGACTGTTTATTCAGTTGGAAAATTTAAAATTTCAAAGTGTCATATTGTTAAAATATAAATATTGACCGACGCCTGAAAGATGACAATGACATCAATTCCGTTTCTATCCCTCGAGTGTCATTAAAAAATAAAAGTGTTCTTGGAATGGCAGCAGAAATTATTCCCAGAGAAAAAAAAAAGTCATGACGAATGGTGTTCCATCCCTAGAACACTGGAAGCCTGTGAAGCATCAAACTGGCAGCTTGCCATGATGTTGCATGCCAACGTCTGTTTACACTTAGTCAAGGGAAAGGGCACGTGTTGCATCTCATGGATTGCACCGAAGGGCCCTCAATGGTACCTCGAGTGCTCTTTATGTATGCCCAGTACCTCTGGACCAGCAGTTAAACACAACTCTCCCCTTTTTCATCATTGGCCCCACGAAAACACTTCATTATTATTTTCACACTCCCCAGCACCGGAAAAACCTCATCCCTGGAGGCTGTCCTAAACAAAGACACGTGAACGACAAAATTTATTGTGGAGGTAAAAAAAAAATTCCTTTCATCAGAATAAAAATCTATTATCAATTCACCCCACGCGTCATCTCGGGTTGGGCATCTCAGCACGGTTGAGGACACATCGGGGATATCCCAATTTGTCATGCGAGAGGTGAAGGCAGTGGGATAATAAGGCGGGGTCGGAAATTATTTTCAAAATCTTTCATCCTACTCTGTCTCTTGTCTCTTGACCCATCTCTTCTTCGAAGAAGGCGACTATTATGTCGAATCTTTGTCTTCGAGTCAGCAGTGGAATCACAATTTTCTCAGATACTTTTCTATAAATTATCACGTCCTCTCGACGATTCTCCGACATCCCCTCCTGCCCCCCCCCCCCCCCCCCCCCTTGAAAAATTTCCGACAGAGAAAAAAAAAACGTAGAGAACACGAGTCCAAGTAATTTTCATAATTCAATCTGAATTTAAAGCTCTCAACCTGAATATCATTTAAATAACAGACATAACTTCTTATTTCAGTGCAATTATCTCAAGTCTTTACCGAATATATAAAAATAGTTATATAATATTGAATTGTAACGAATAAATTGTGCAGTTATTATTTTCTAATCAGTTTTTTATCACTGAAAACCCATGTTGGTTACTCCAACAGTCAATTGCACACCGTTATTATTATTATGGCTAACGATATTTGTGGATTTTAATTCAGTCTTCAAGCGATGCTCTTCAGGTACAGCGGATGCTGGATCCTTGTCCAGTCTTTGTTCCGTATATAGATGCCTCGCCGCGTAGCAGAGCAGCAACATCTCGATTAGCATCAGTGCGTTGTAGGTAACTGAAATTGAGAAAGAAACCTGAGAAGATCACGATTCCAATGTGAGTTTATATGGGTCTTAACCCGTAACCAACGGACATGGTTAGTCTTATTTTTACCCCCTTGTCATCATGATCAGTGTCAAAAGGGAAAAAATAAAATGTGTTTTAAAAAAACAATTTCAACGGATCTTTTATGCTGACCCTGCTCCAGTGATTAACATCTTTTGATACTCTTTTGGTTGTATTGTTTGAATTTCTTCGGGTTTATCTTCAGGGGAGTCTTCTAGAATTTTAATCAGGTACCCAAGACCATTTCCATTATACATTTTCCTGTTTTCCACATTTTCTTGACCATTCACCCGCAAAATTCATCCGGTAGAATTCCAATTGTCCGTTCACTGATGATTACCATAAATTATAATGACTCATGATTATTTAGTCTTACAATTAGCGTAGATCTGCGGTGTTATCGGTGGATTGCATGGGAATAATCCGACAGCTGGGAGAGCTCTGATAATTGCCAGTTGTAATTTGGAGAATAGCAAAACCATTTGAGTGACCGTCGCCTTCAGTCGAAGTCTCAATTCTGCGGAGTAAAAATAATTTGATAATTAATGATTAGACAGATAGTCATGGGCAGTCTGTTCCCACGGAATTCGGAGGTATTTCCAAACATCAGAAACCAAACGACGAGATATTATCCGCCATTAGATCACCGGATATCCCATTAAGGGGACATTGAGTCAACTCACCAGGATTAATATCCTTGAGACTCATGAATGTGATGTTCAATCCGTAAAGTGCCAGAAGAATACTGCTGATGGATATGGGTTGGAGACACACGTTGTATTTACCATAAATCACTGGATTTTCCAAGTGCATGATGAGGAAAATAACGTAGACGATACCCTGATAGATAATACAATCATTTTATCAGCTATCAATTATTTACAGAGATCGATGCTATAAAAAATCTATCTATCTATCAAATCTATAGTCTAAAATCAATAATCAAAGGATTATCATTTTTTCTGTAATTCACCGCAAATATTTGTTGTATAGTATTTGTTTAAAAATCGTTGGGCAAATTTAGCGTGCGCTATCGGAGAATTTAGACAGAGACTTCAATGCTATGATAGCAAGCGGATATTGAGGTACGTCTAGACGATGTAGATTATACCTGGACGATAGGAAACTGCATGACGATTATTTGCAGCCACGACAAATTGGCCTCATTCAATTGGATACTGGGGAATGGCAGACATGGCCAGCAACAACAGGGACCAACTCTCAGGAGCATCGGGGGTGCACCTGTGACCTTTCTTCTGCCGATATCGATGAGAAGAAGGTAAAGACGATACATCGATATCGTGAGGGAGATTTGGGTTACAGCCTCCGTCAGGAGTTGTGCTCTGTGGAAAAACATACACCGATTACCATCGACCAATCGTTAAGGGGATTCATTATTTTTCCGCCCCCTTTGTCTCCGGGTTTATCTTTTTTTTTTATTTATTTTTCCTAGGGTATCGGGGAGCCACTGAAATTCCTCGCGATGTCAATTTATTTACTTTTTCTTTTTCTTTCGGCTTTCGATCCTCCGGCCACACTCACCGAATGTCGTTAATGGAGCCTGATTCCTGTCTACCCTACGACCTGATCCTCGAGGAGATATCCCAGACGGATATCCATGGAAAAAATTAAAATATCGTATTGACTCGTACCCGTATGCCACATTTTCATCAGCAGGGGAGATTGTGAGATTGATCTACAGATTACGATATACCAATATTATACGTTTTTTTTAATAAATAATCCTTAATCCACTATTTTTTTTTTAATTTGGAATAATTCTTATCGTTATTTTACGTCGCTTAATGGAGGGAATCATTTAATTTCTCATGGAGGGAAATATTTAGTCAAAATTACGGAATTTTCTGTTCGCTTACCGATTATGGAATCGACTCGGAAAATGATGGAGTCGTAATCCGGGTGAAAAAAAATTGTAATCGGAATATTTTTTCCAAATTTTCAAAAAATTTCTGGAAATTTTATGGAATTTAGAATTTTTTTGAATTTGTTTCGGAAAATTTTTAAAATAATTATTTAAAAATTTTTGTAAATATCATTTTTTCTTTTTATTATACTGTTGTTTACTTTTTTGATTTACCAATATTCTCAAAAAAACGCCATTCAAATTATAAAAAAACATTTTCTGAAAAGTTTACCAGACATTTTTTAAAAATTTGGAAAAAATATTCCGATAACAATTTTTTTCCCGGGAATTCTTCACAGATATTTAAAATTTCCTACACCCACATTTCACTCCGGAATTACGGAAAAGACACTTAAATTTTATTGAATATTTCTTCCCGCGCAGTGAATTCCCGAGCAAATCAAATTTTCAAATTTTCTGAATTTTCATTCCCCCCAATTACCGAATTCCTTAATGAACGTCATTTGGTAATTGACCGATAGCATCTCCCTCAGGCCGCGACAAAAACAGCAGTTGAGATATTTTTTTTCCATTTCCTATATTTATAGACAGGAAGGAGAACCGGTTGGCCGCCCAATAGACGCCCGACAATGACAATGATACCCACAACAGCAATTTTCCATTTTTTGTTTTTTCATTCTCCGATACATCCTCTGGTTATAATTTTTTTTTCGGCGCCATTACATCGCACCTAAAAAAAACCAGAGCGAAAAAAAAAGATCGTTAGGCTGAATTTCGAGGATAATGCCCGAGTCGAAGAGATGTAATTGGAGAAATTACGTTTCCTCGAGTGTTATTGTCGCTTTGGTGGGTTTTCCTTGATCATCTTTAATGATCCCCGATGACACTCGGTGCACGTGTCCTGGACGAAAATCACCGAAGCGATATCGTAATTGGATCAGTGATAATCATGTCATTATTTATTACTCAATTACCAACAAAAGCTATTTCTTCAACATTCGTGAAGACTTAATTGTTTCAATTATTTGTGTAAACAAATATTTGTTTTTCGGGTGAATTAATGGAGCCGATGGCTCGATGGCTCGATGGCTCGATGGCTCGATGGCTCATCGACTCGTCGACAGGGGAATGAGAGCTAATTATGACGATCAAATCGAAAATTAAACCAAAATGTCATGCGTAAAGGTTGAATCTAGTCGATAATTGAAAGACAAGTTGAGATAAGGCCCCGATTTGAGATGGATGAGGGGCCAGTGTCAACTGTGCTCATGTGAGCTGTCGAAAGATTGAGGGATCGGCGGGACAAGCGTTATCGGTTGGGCCAGAGGGGCCCAAACACGATCATTAGTTGAGAAATATACATCGAACTTGTTTCACTCTCGTTCGTTTTCTTTTGCTCGTTAAGGGATCCCCTTCGGGGAGAAAAAAAAATATATAAAGAACGAGGGGAGATCTGCCCTTTTCGTGTACAAAACCAATTCACAGACTTTCTCAAAATGCTGGATCGGCTAAACTTGAAAAAAATATATACGGATTATCACTAGTCGTTAGTCAATGCCCCAAGAGACTACAGTTGATGATTCCCACGTGCAGGAGCTGATGAAAGAATTGGAGCACAATTCTAAATTGTTTTGAGCTTTTTCGATTTATTACCTCATCACCGGAATTTATCGCCTCGTTTATTCCCACAGGGATTTCCCCCTCGTGAAATTCGAGACGACACGGAAATTTAAAAACTTTTCTATTGAGTCTCGCACTTTTTTCAGTCAGTGTTCAATTTTTTATAATAATTATATAGTTCAAGGAATTTAGGGCAAATTAACGCGGCATTCGGTGGGGGAATGTATTGACTGCATTTGTTAATAATTCAATAAAAAATAATCGAACCTTGGAATCGCCAGAGCAATGAGACTGCAGGTACTCGCAACTGGATAAACCGAAAGTACAAACACACAATTAGTCTTATAGTTTTTGGATTCGACCTGATAAATGAGACGAGAGCAGGCCTCGAGGGTGAGGCCGATGGTGGCAGTCGCCAAAATTGCCCCGATGCTAACGAATATCGTCCCAAAAACTCCTAAACCTGAAAAATAATGAATAAATAAACGAAAGTGGGTAAAAAAAATTTAATCACACGTAAGGATAATCTAATGATAATGACGCGCCCATTCAAATCTCGTCTGACCTAAACGGCTACGATGTTTTGGGTTAATAATAATGGACTGATTCTCGGACGGGTAAAAAATACAAATCGCGTAAATGGGTTACCCAGGCATGCCGACTCTTCGTCATCGCGTTATTTCACGATTTTACTTCACTCGCGAGAGTGTAGAACTTTCACTTGAATTGCAACGACAGGCATGAGTGCGCGATTTCGAGTGTCTGCATTTTTTATTTTATTCAACTTCAACAAATTCGATAAATTCTAGTCGATAAATAAAATTGAATTAATACCCAATTAATTATTAATTAATTAATTAATTAATTAATTAATTAATTATTAATCTATCGTTATTTGGATTTTATAGAATTATTAGATGAGAATCAATGGATTGAAATGAATATGAAAATTTATGGATTGATTACTCACTATTCAGGAAATCTCTGGATGATGGCACTTCATAGTCATTACAGGATAAATTGAGATAGTAGCTATTGTAATTTGACGTATCTTCTTGGGTGCTCAAGTAATTCTCCATTCTTGGGGGAATGAAGCGAAATTATTGGACTGGAGAAACCCTCGTCTGGGTGAGAGACAGTCGCACTGAGGTACCTGAAAGAGACCGGTGTGCGATCAGAGAGAGTTCAGTCCCCACTTTTTGTTTGAAATTTTGCTGAGACCATGTTGAGAGGATTTACCACTGGTTATCAATCACTGATCGCTGGAACGATCTAGAGTCCATGAGAAATCATCCCCGGGAGCACGAACCAGAAAACTAAAGAAATTCATTTCCGGAATCAATCGGGATTTGATGATTCACAGAATTTCTGGGATTTTTCCACTTTATTTTTTTTCTTTCACGATTTTGTTTAGTTAATTAAAATTCATAAGTTATTCGGTTTAGATATTGTTTTTGGATATTCTTGTTGGAGAATTATTGCCGCGTCGGAGTATTTTGGAAGCAGTTCGTGGTTTTTTGAAAATTAAATCTTTGGAGCTAGTATTGCTCCGTTTGGTGAACGATAAATTGTTTGTTGACAATAAATAATTCAAGTCATTCAATGGAATCAGTTTGAAAATAAAAATCCCGGGGTTCGATAGTTTCCGATATTACAGCTTGATGATTTAATACCGACTGTAAATAAAACTTTGGTCCCATGAGTCGGTAATTTCGGCTTTGAAATTTGAAATCAATGCGAGTCCCTTTCAAAAATTCTCAAAATTCCCTCAATCGTTAAAAAATAAAAAGACAATTCAAGCGAATCGTAAATGTAATCCTAAAAATCGAAGGCGAATTTATTTTCTCCAGCATAATTTCTCGAAAGTACTCGAAAGTATTGCCTATCGCAAATGCAATTACTCGTCAGGCATTCCTTTAAGGACGAACTCTAATCAGAATGAAAACGTCAGTAAATCACCGGCGAGGTCATGCGACTCATGACCCGATTCCGATACTCCAACTTTCCATTTTCCTCGGCACGACGTTTTTTAATAAACAATCTAGCATTTTTTTGTCCCACACCGTACAAAGTCGAAAGCAAAGGAAAGTGACATCTCCAATTTTTTTAATCTGCAACCTTGGAGTTGGAACTGAAATAAATATAATTTTCTGAATTCAACATCAATGATTTCACCAAAAAGGATATTATATTATTTTATTTTATTTATACAGACCCTACAGAATATAATAACAATAAATAAATAAATGTATTTATTTATTTGATGCATACAATATGCAATAAAATATTGTCAATATCATAATTTATTAAAATCGAAAAAAAAATGATGAGTAATAATCGTATTTAATAGAATTATATGATAATAATAATTGCGATTTCAATAACAATAAATAATATAGTTATATATATAGTTATTATATAATAACAATAATTATGATCAGAAATATTTTTTTTATGATTGATACGTCATTCCGATTGCAAGTGATCTCGCGATTCGATTCGATAAATCGCAACGATTGGCGCGCAAATCATTGAATTATGAATATTTATCCGAAACCGATCGAATGGACATATGGTAGTCACAGAGGGAGAATCGGTAGTGATAAGGAGAGAGTTTGAAAGTAGGTCTGAGCTGTGGCCCGAGTTCTTCAAGTCAGTTGTCGTTTGCGTCTTCGGACGATCGGATATACCGCAATGGTGAGTCAATTATTCTCTCAACCGATTCGCAAACGAATCGTTTCATATTTCGTTTTAAATCGTTCAACATTTGAATTACTCCCGATTGTTTCGGTTGATTAATTTTTTGGGAATATTTTTGTCAGTGAAAATTGATGATTATGAAGATTTCGCACCATTTGCTACCGGTTTTTCTCGTTTTGGGACCGTTGGACACCGGGTGGTGGGGATTCTGGGAATTTTCAGGATTTCCGTGACACGTGGGGAAGAAGGAAAGTTACTTTCATTCTCGTTATTGTGTCAAGGATCCTCTCGGGTTGACTAATTTCTTCAATTAATCCATCCAATCTTCAAAACTGGAATTGATAAATAATTGTGGAATCATATTATTGTAGACAATTACCATTTAATTAGAAAATTGAATTATAAGTCTAAGGAATCATTATAATTAATTCAATGTTCCTGGAAAGACTGGATAATTTCTAGTTGCCGTGGAAATAAATTCCGTGAAATTCGATGACGGAAAATCGTAATGATGAGGGTAATGATGGGTAATGAGGGAAGTAATGAGAGTCGGAATTGAAGTTGGAAATAGTTACATTAAAACGAATGGACTTTCTCGGCAACTCAAGATTCTTGAATCTTAATCCACGGAATTTGAAAAATTTAATAGCAATTGCGCAGCGCGTGTCGCAGGTGATGCGTAGTTTTTTTATTGATCTGATGAAATCTGGATATTGCAAGGTTTCCAGCAGTCGAGGCGTCAAAATGTCGGTCATTTTTTCTGTAATGATAAAACATGTAATTACAAAGCGAAATTACAACGGAAGAAAATCTAGATGTAGATTATTTTTTATTCTCAGGATTTTCAATGAATTTGTTTTTCGTCTTCCAGATTTTGTTAATCTGTTTCGTGTCGCTGTTGACGCTGGGAGGGTGTGACGAGCTCCCGTCAAAGCTGGAGATCGAGTCGTCGATCAACCGGACAATCGATGAGGTAGAGCGACTGATGCTATCAGATCCGAGTCTTCCGAGGCTGTCCCGCGCGGAGATAGTGGACATCCTCCAGAATATAACATCCAGAGACATGAAGAACTACGAGGAGTCCATCGAGCAGATGAGATCCGACTACAAGAGAGCACTGATGGTCGTCCTGCCGTACAACTCCAAGGACTCAGCAGGTGAGGACCTCCAGGATTTGTACACTAAACCGCCAATGGTTCAGGTAATCCCGGATTCCGAGATAATGTTGCCATTCGCGTCAATCCAAGAAGAATCCACTGCATCATCTCCTCGGAGCAGCATCAACCTGATTGAGCCTTCAGACAAGGTGAATCAGATCGGTACGCCTCAAGACTACCAGAACCACCGGAGCTCCTACTCAGATGCTGCTCCAGGAAGTCCAGAGAAGTTCACCTTCAACCTGGACGATCTGCCGGAGAGGAAAAAGAATTTCCAAACGATGGATAAACCAAAGGTGCAGGTGGTCGTCAGCACCGAGGCATCATCCACCCACGAATCGACAACGCCTTACGTCTCTTCAACGGCACCGACGACCTATACCTCCGTCAATATCCTGACGTCAGACCAGTGGAGATACAATGCACCTCCATCAACGACTTCAAAACCGAGAACCCGAGTCCCATCGCGCACATCAACTCCAAGCGCGCCGAAGAAATCGGTGAAGGCTTCAGTCAAGGCAGTTCAAGTCAAACCTTTTCTGCCTACTGTCATATCATCTGTCCCGACGACGTCTGTCACCTTCACGAAAGAAGGACCAAGATCATCACCAGCTACTGACATCGCCACCTACGATATGACGAATATCGAAATGATGAATGACGCACCAGCAGCTGTGATGTACGTAACACCGATGAGTTCGCAATCAACTAGGGGACAGACAACACCGATGCGAAAGGAAGTGGCGAATCTTCTGGCGGCGATTGGCCTTCAACCGAGTCGAGACAAAACGAAGAGCAAAGGAATTTTGAATGAGGATATCCTCGGGGAGGACTTTACCATGGCAGACAGCAACCTGATCCCAAGCAAAGCCGCACTGACCTCGACGATACCTGATGGATCATCAATACTAACGCAGAACACCTTCGAGGACAGCCAGATGGACCTTCACAAAGGCGTTAGCAATCTGTCCCCAGATCTGCACACGTTGTTCCAGAGATTTGGACTACCGGTCTCTGGGAAGGAACAGGTAACGACTAGAAAACCCGAGCAGGAAGTGCGGCCACCGACGAAAGTCGACTCCTGGAGGATCTTCAAGCCAATTCCAACAACCGAAATCAAGGACGAAGGCATGAGGGACTTCCTTGCGACATTTGGACTCGGCGAGGCACGAGGTCAAAAGGCAATGCGAACCACTACTGAGGCTTCGGTAATCGACGCAGTTCCTGACCGGATGAAGGGCATCCTGGAGAACATCGGACTGATCACCCGGTCTAGGAATATCGAACTGGTGACGACGGAGAAGCCGAAGCTGCATGTCTTCAAGCCCCACGAGACGCGCATCGGTGATGAAGAGCAGAAGAACAAGATTAACGAACTACTGGATACTGTCAAGCTTGTCCAGGAGGGAAAGGCTGGTGTCGATGATGTTCGGGATGCTGCTAATCGATTGTTGACCACCACCAAGACACTTCAGGGAGGTCCGGATCCGGTCAGTCTTGAGGAGATCCTTCAGATGTATAATGAAGATCTCAGGAACGAGGTGAAACGCCAGGAACAGGATAAGGAGCTGTCGGATGCCGAGAGTGGTATTAAGAGATTGATGATTTATCTTTTGGGGAGCTCGAAGTGGTGGATTGACAGAATCATTGGTGGTTTAGGGTGGATCAAGAATGTGATTACTCGTGTCACTAACAAAATTCGGGGGGTTGGGGGGTGAAAGGGTTTTCATTAGGTCTTACACTCTGAGGTTGCATGGAGCTAACAGATTTTTTTTAAAATGGTATGTTGGACTTCTGGTATTTACTAATAGCATGACTCTGTCATTTATATTTAATTATCTTTCAGAACTGATAAGATTGGAAAAATTCTATTTGAATAAAAAATTGATTATAATTCATCGACAATTTCGGCAGATTCTAGTGACAATGAGATGTCCGGATCCGACAACACCGAGAGCACAACGAGTGCCACGTCAACGACGAATGCCACATCGTCTTCGGATTCCTCTGGAGATACCTCGGATTTAAATGGTCGTCTCGTGGAAAGTGCGACCGACAATTCTCCGACATCTGAGGGCCCCAGCTTGGTCGACCTCGCTGACTCTTTCGGTGGTACCACAGCGGCTCCAGATCCCGTTTTACCAACGCCCCGACGATCAGGGCTTTATTTCCTCGTCGACTGGAACTCGTTCCTGGAGGTTGGCGAGGAAGAGAACAAGGTGAATCTCAGATTTACCCCGAAGGCTGGAGATGGCAGTAGATTTATTCCTGTCGTCGTGCCCTGATTGTCTCTTCAAGTATTTTAAGTACATGTATTTTATTTACTGCTATATTTATATTTTATCTCTATATGCATTGCTCAATTCAAGGAGAGACCAGAAAAATCAAAGATTAGCGATTTCCTACGGATGTAATATATTATTTACTGTGGAAAATAATTTAACCGTTTAGCACGTAATACTGAAAATTATTTATAATTATCTCTGCGGTAATATCACGTGTCGGTGGTGAGAGTTGTATTGATTTGTATCGATGGTAATAAATTTTCTACGGTTTATGTCTCGTAGGAATTTCATTCATACCCGTTTTTCAAAATATTTACAGTTGTCGGGTTGTACCGTACCCAATGATTTGGAGTAATCGCTCGCTGATTTAGTGACGTATCAGTCATGGCTGGGATTGAACATTTATTTATTACTGTTACTTTGGTTTATTTAATGTGTGGAATTGGACAGTGTCTTGACATTCAGAGTATGTCCAACAGACTGGATGAAATGTTGACGGGAATCAGCGAACCATCTTCCAGGGAATCAGAATGGACTGACGAAATTCAGAGAGTGTATGATTTCGGAAATGGAGATGGCCATCGAGAAGGTACCAAAATCCTCTCCAATGATTATTTAAGCGTTTCCTTTTCTACAAAATATAATGAATGGATCAAAATCGTTTAATACTTTGTTATATTCTATCATTTTTTATTAACTCTAGAAAATTATAAAAATTACTCTCCTTTTAGAATTGTTGGTGACTAACATCACCAACTCAGTCCATAAAGATTTATTCATCGAAGCGAATAACTACAAATTTTTTACGAAAAATGGGATATTTTACCTGGCGACGTCAACACCTTTGATGTTCGCCCTGAATATTGTGGACAAGACCTTCAACGAGATGAGGCCACACTGGATAATTCCTCCTGGGAGAATCCGAACTTTTGAAGTGCTCACCTCCCCCAATGCCACAGCTCCCCACGAGTCGCAAATTATTGTTGTGCTCTCCGTCGAAGAGCCTTACGGGAATCAACTGCTGTGGTACATTCTGTCCGACGATCACTTCCAGGAATTTTGGTCCTGGCCGATTCAGGACCGGGTGGGACGTCTCCTTCACTTCCGGTACAAAAATCAGGACAGGCTGATTACCATGACACAAAGTCCTTCCTCGAGGAGTAATTATTCTCATATTTACGTCTGGGGATTCAGAATCAATGGAAATCTGTCAAATTTCTGGTGAGAGTCTAAATAATGTATCATATTTAACAAATTCACTGAATATTTTCCTGAAAAATTAAATGAATAAATTGTCCAGGTTGAGCCAGCGACTGCCAGGTTCTGATGCTCTGGACGTGAGGGAGTGTCCAGCGTACAATGGAGTGATGATAGCTCTGCAAATGGAAGACAAAGTCTCTCTCTACGGCTACACCAAGGAGAATTCCAAGGAGAGCTACTTCCAATCCCTGCCAAGTGTCAAGTCCATCGGCTTGAAGAACTTCGCTTGCTTCCAGAGTGGACACATTCTGTACTTGGGTATGTCAGGTCCAAATGCAGCGATCCTCGATTTTTTTGAAGGAGAATTCGGGTTCCACCAGGCTCTCAGTGAAGTACTGAGTGAAGAGATCACTTGGATGGAGGCAATCCCGGTGGATACCTACAGAGACGAGGTCCTCGTCCTCGTCCAGATGAAGAATCAAACGATCGCCGGCCTCGTCTGGCAGGACAACACCTTCAGAAGTGCTCCTCTTCCTCCCTTTGATACCACAGACCTCCGCCTCTCCGAAATCACAGTCATCCCAAAAATAGGATTCATTTACAAAAACAGAATCGTAAGAATTCAAACTGAATTCAAACAGCTGGTGCCACCCGTCTACGAGGAAGTGGAGAAACTGTTCCAGAGGAGGGAGGCGCTATCAGAAATTATGAGAAAGCAGAATCTCATTATCAACTGCACAAAGTCCCGAATAAAGAGCAGCTATCTAACGACTTCCACCATCACCGGGCACTGGGAGATTAATCACCTGAAGTCGAGGCGAACGATAATCGGGGAAGGAGTAAAACCTGAGAAGATATCCCTAGGTGGAAAAATCCTCACACAACGTGACTTCGAGGTGAACCTGATAGAAGCCCTATCCACTCTCCAAGAGCTACAACGGAAACTAGACGTCATCCACGGGAACATGAAGAAGGCAATCCCCAAGAACTCCACGAGATTCGATTTCCCCGGATCTCTCCACATCCTGGGGGATCTGACGGTCAATGATCTTTCAGTCGAAAACCCAGTATTTGAGAGAGTGAATAATCACTCGATCGCGTCGCTGTTCACAGATCTGTTCGCCTACGACAGCAACGTCCTCATCAAGGGCCAGAAGACCTTCCCCTCCATCAACGTCACGGCGTTGACAGTGAACTCTATCAACGGCATTCCTCTGGAGGACATCGTCTTCGATAAGAACCTTCTCCAATACCACGACGTCGATCTTTATAATTTGAAGAAGTTAGTCGTTAATGGAAACATGAATTTCTCCTTCATCAACAACTACAACTGGTTGTCACTGATCGACAATGTTGTATTAAAAAGCGAATCCGTGAGGATTCCCAATAATACGACTGTCAAGGGTATCCTGACAGCCAAATATGTAGATATGAATCGGTTGAACGGTCTCAAATACCGAGAAGACTACGTATCGAGGACCAGTACGGACGCTGTTAATGTCCCATCGAAGAAAACATTCAAGACCTTGACCACCAGGAGTCTTAACAATCTTCTGACGATCAACGGGATACCAGTGGAGGAGTTCATTCTGTTGCACAATAACCAGAATCTCGATATGATCACCTTCGAGAGTCTAGCGATTATCGGAATTCTTCAGATCGATGGGAACATAACGGGTGGTCCTGTCATCCCGGAGTTGTCGGGTCTCAGCAACGAGACCAGGTCAATCATGTCCCCTGTCACCTTCCGGAGGCTCAAAGTCGAGAGGAAGGTGCAGGTCAATCAGGCCCTGAACAACAAGACTTGGGAGACGTTCAACGATCTCGTAAACAATAATGAAGCTGTCGTTGAGATTAGGGGGAAGAAGATTTTTAAGGGACCGGTGGTCATTAAACCAAAGATCAATATTACCCGGGGAATAATCAATGGTCATCTTCTTCGTGAGTTCATGACACTGGACACTGCCCAGGAACTTCCTAATCTGAAGAAGATTGAAGCGAACGTGACGTTTGGAAAATTGATCCGAGGAGATTTCGCACGGTTGGACGCGATTTTCTCGGAGTGTCTGGAGAAAGTCTTAACGTTCAAGGTTCCTCCAGTCGTGGAGCAGCTGGTGTTCGATACTCTGAATGGAAACGTCTCGAGGGAGGATTTCATGGCGCGTCTGAATGAGACGTCGATGATTTGCGACAGAGTGATTGTTCAGGAGTTGCATACCCCTAGGCTGTCGACGATGAATGTCAATGGAGTCAGTCTTGAGGACTTTACATCTCGATTGATTTCGAAGACGAAGAGTCAGGAACTATCTGGCAATTTTGACATCGGTAATTTGAACACGGGAACTCTACGAGCTACGGCTCTGGATGGGAAATCAGTGGTCGATCTTGAAAGTGAGAGAAGAATTTTGGATGATTTGTACAACAGCATTGTCAATGGCAGCGTTTCTATTAATGATTTGGAGGTCACTGAGATCATCACCACCCCCAGAGTCAATGGCTATGAGTTGGTGGGGATTTACCACGCAGAAGATATGGGCAAAGTCGTATTCCATAACAACGTCACCATCACAGAGTTGTGGGTGGAGGGTCTATTCAATGGGTGGAACTTCTCGGAGGTCGTCGATGATGCAGTTTTGAAGACAGACAGGAGCATCTCCGTTCGGGGTTTGAAGAAAGCTCAGTCGATTATCTGCGAGATGCTGGATGTCGCCTCCTGGAATAATCACCCAGTCACGAACTTTCTCAATCCTGATGTGCACCAGGTGCTGACTGGTCCCGTCGTCGTCAAAGGAACGACGACTGTCTTAAAGAGTTTCGATGGCAACAAGAAAATTGGAAATGTTACGCTCAACGAGATTAAAAAAAGAATACACTCTGTGGCGGACAGGAAATTTCTTCTCAATGGAAACTTCAGGTTCCCAGGAACTGTTGACATTCGGAACCTTCTCATCAACGGGTCCATCCAGGGTGTAGATTTTAACGCACTTGAGGAGTCTCTTGTATTTTTAAACAACGAGAATATTTCGATATCAGGTCCTTTGCTCCTGAAGAATTCTGTGAAACTCGGAAACCTGACGATTACTCATCGACTCAATGACAATAATCTTCAGGACTTTTACAAGAACGTCGTCCTCTTGGGGGGCCCGATAAACGGGAGATTGATAACTTCGGGGGATGTGATGGTCCGGGGTGATCTCCTGGTGACGGGGAGGATCGATGTGAAAAATATGATGGACATCGACGTGAACCAATTGAGGGAAAATGCTGTCTATCTTAACCAGCCAGCCTTCACCCCCGGAGAGACGGTCTTCAAGGACGTGGTCTTCAACTCTATCAAGGCTGAACGAATTAATGATCTCCTCATGACAGATCTCTTTCCACATCACAAGGACAGAGTGATCCCCAGCCTCCACTGTATAAACATCTCTGCAGACGTCATAAGGATCGAGGGAACCCTCAACAATGAGACCCTCAAGAAGATGTACGACGAGAGCTTTCAGCTGTCAGGTCCCCAGAACATCACCGGCTATTTCAGCTTCCTGGAGAACGTCAACATCCGTCGAGACTTGGACGTCGTCTCCATAAACGGAATAAATCCTCTGAACTTCGAAACTCTTGACGACAATGGCTCGATCAGTGATTTAATCTTCCAGGAGGACGTGGTCCTCAATGGCAGCCTGAGAGTCCTGGGGCTCTACAACGGGATCGACCCCCTGACCTGGCAAGCAACGGCCATCACCACAACGTTCCCCATGACTCAGACTGTATCAGGGGTGTGGACGATCGACGGTAATGTTCACCTGAAAGGACCTGTTCGAGGATCTGCCACTCTCAATGGAATCAACATCGCAAACCTGGTGAAACATCTACGGGAGCGAGACCTCCAGGTTGACGTTAAAATCAATGATACCCAGAAGGTGCTCCAGGGTCTCTGCGAGAGACTCAGGACCCTGAAGCATCTCGCGGATAAACAGATCTATCGATACAAGTTCTTTGATTACTCCCAGGTGTTCAAGTTCCCGAGCCGAATCATCAGTGTCCACTCGGGGTCTGATCCCTCCGATTATTTATTCGTCAGTCTGGAGGATGGTGCCCTTGTCGGGTTTGTATTCGACGGAGAGGAGTTCACGGGAGGACCTGTAATCGAGGGCTTCGGGGTAGTTGAGGAGTGGATCAGTCTGGAGTACCAGGAGCTGAGGTACTTCGTCACGATGGGAATTAAGACTGAGGGCAAATCCCAGGGGAATCTTTGGAGATTGACCGACAAGGAGATGGTGCACGTGAAGGAACTGGGAAACCTCGAGGGAGGAAAAAAGGTGAATGATCAGGAGTTCTTGGTGATCGTAAAGGACCAGCTGATTCACTACTCCCTACAAGATATCCAAGGGATTACCTTGAACCCCAAGAGGACATTCTCCCTGGGAAGGCGAGGGATGAGGTTCGTCAGGGGTGCTGAGAGCAATGAAGTGATTCTCCTCGGGGAAGACGCAGCTGTTCTGCTGGATTTAGCCTCTGGTGAAGTAAACACCAGGGAGAATCCTTTTGGAACTGATAATGTCTTCAGGTTTCGAGTTGGCCCTTTTCAGAGGGAGAGATTTGTTTATTACGATGAGGCCGCGGCTCAGGATTTTATTTTTATAGCAGATTATGAGGAATCGGGTTTGAAAATTCTTCAGAGCATCGAGGCTAGACCGTCTGGGATCAGGAGTATGAGGTTCCAGGGCGGGGAGGAATTTTTACTGTGGATTGAGGGTTGCAGAATTAATGTTTATGAATATAAAGGGATTGAGGGGTTTGTCTTTGTCGAGGCACTGCACGTTGGGGCCGAGAAACTCGTGGAGTTCAGGATTAAGAGGCATCCCCTGTTTGCTGGGGTTAATTGTTTAGGGGCCGTTCAGGGGAATATTCTGACAATCCTCGAGGCCAAAATGGATGGACTCAGGATTGAGGGGAATATTCCTGAATGTGATTATTGACGTAAGTTAAGGTTCGTTACCCATTTGTTGATTGATATGTTAATTGGATTGTCATTGGAATAAAAGATTTTTCTATTGTTGTTTATAATGTCTCAAGACTATTAGATATACTTAAATAGAATTAAGATGAACAGAACGTGGAAATTATTTATGGAGCTGTCTATTTTGTAGGGAAAATTGTCAGAGTAATGTCTGGTAATTGTTGTATGGACGCTTTTTGATAAAAAATTTCTGCACTCTCGAGGTTAATTCGTCTATCTGTCGGAAAAGCCAGGGATTATGAGGACGGGACTAAGGTATGATACAAGCAGGTATTGTCAAGCCAAAAACAGGGGACAAGTTCTCTCAGGCGGCACGAGACAGCGCGGCGGTCACTATCACCTTCCCCTCATCTCCATGTCATCCCCACTCTGTACCTGTTTGGCACTGGTGGGACTATTTAAAAAATGGTAATTTAAAATAGCAGGAAAAAATGTAAAAAAAA